AGCGTAAAGAGAAGGAGCCACCCGCGTCGCGACTTGTTGTGCCCAAGTACTCCAACGTGCAAGATCCCCTTCGCATGATTGATCTCAAGTCCGCACTACAATATGGCCAGGCATTGGGATACCCTGCTTTGTACCAGTTCATCCGACAGTTCACGAGGGAGAACCTACATCCATTCGTGCCATACAAGAACGGACCTGAGGTCATCTTGACCTGCGGCTCTACCGATGGTTTTTCCAAAACACTGACCGCGCTCAGCAACGAATGGTCAGCTGATCATGACCCTGTAGATGAGAGGCCGGGTCTGTTGTGCGAAACCTACTGCTACATGAACGCTATCCAGACCGCTCGGCCGCGCGGCTTCAACATTGCCCCCGTAGCTATCGACGATGAGGGCATGATGGCGCACGGCGAAGGAGGTCTGGAGGACGTTTTGGAGAACTGGGACTTCTCAAAGGGCCGCCGACCGCACATCATGTACACTGTGACTATTGGACAGAACCCTACATCAGGCACTCTGTCTGTACAAAGAAGAACCGAAATCTACGCCCTTTGCGTCAAGTACGATGTCATTATCGTCGAAGACGACCCATACTGGTACCTACAGTATCCATCATCATCGCCCAGCAGCGTTCCTCCAAAGCCCACCAAGTCTTCCGGGTTCGAATTTCTCGACAGTCTGATTCCTTCATATCTCAGCGTAGACTACCAAGGCCGTGTCGTACGTCTCGACACATTCTCCAAGACTGTAGCTCCAGGATGCCGTCTTGGTTGGATCACCGCACAACCCGCGCTTGTAGAACGTCTCCTTCGCATCACCGAGACTTCGACTCAGCAACCCTCTGGTTTCGTCCAGTCTATGATTGCAGAATTGCTCATGGGCCCTCAGTCATCAAATGACCCTGGAAAAGGTGGCGCCGCCGATGGCAGTGGCTGGAAAGTCGACGGATGGGTGCGCTGGCTGGAAGGTCTTAGGGGAAACTATGAGCGTCGCATGTCGGCTATGTGCGACACACTCAGCGCTGGCAAGGAAGTCGTCAAGGCTGGGCGCCGAAGGAGCCTCGTTGATGTCGTAGACGAAGAAGAGGACTGGGCTGTGGTCGAGAAGACCAACATATACTCATTTGTTCGTCCTCTCGGCGGCATGTTTGTCTGGGTACGATTCGACTTTTCGTCTCACCCACTCGCCAAGCAAGTACCTGCCGGTCGTCTTTCCAAGGCCCTTTGGGTGTTCTGGACGTCGAAGCCATATCTGTGCCTCGTAGCACCAGGTACCATGTTCGCAGCCAACCAGGAAATCAGAGATAACGACAGCTTCAACTGCTTCAGGTTGTGCTTCGCTGCTTGCCCCACGGAAGATGTCGATGATATCAGCAAGAGATTTGTAGATGGTGCACAAGCATTCTGGAGGATCAAGAGCAAGAGCAAGATTGATAAATTACTGGAGGACGAGGAGACCGCCATCGCGGGTGTAGACCACGTTGCGGGTATGGCCGTGCTAACGGGGATGTGTTGATGATTTACGAGTAATCCCAGTAATACATAGTTTTCGGACGCCAACAGACATTTTGAGTTCATGGCAGGTGTTTCAGGCCATGCCACGTGCTGAGCGGATACAGGCACAAAGCAAATGATGATTGCGTCTTGCGGAGTAGCTACCGTCCCCGACCCTCTGGAACTAGTGCATCTATCTCCCGCGTTTCGCGCTGCTTGAGCGACTAACAAGAGCATGGATTATCGTGGTTAAGAACTCGAAACTAACGCGGCTGGTTTTCTCAGTGGGCCCAGACAGTAACAGACCAAAGTCAATATTGATTAAGTATTATGTACGCCAGAATGATGGAGGAGGCGCGCTATGCTCTCCTATCACTCGCTATCTACTTGGAAGCCTTGGCATCAGCAAGGATGGCGTCTGACGCCTTCTCCGCCAGCATGTAGAGGGGAAGGGCGAGGTAAGTACCAGGGATCTTGGGGAAAGAGGAAGCATCAACGATACGAAGACCATCAACACCACGGACCTTGAAGTTGGTGTCGAGAACAGCATTCGGGTCGTCGTCAGAGCCAATGGGGCAGGTGCAAGAAGCATGGTGGCCCCAGGACTCGTACTTGGCGAACTCCTTCCACTGTGCGTCGGTCTGAACTTGCTTTCCGGGCCAAACCTCAGTGAACTTTCCATCGAGAGGGATGAGGTCTTGGAAGACCTTGCGGCCGTACTTCATTCCCTCAACAAGGGCATCAAGATCCTCGTCACCGCCAACATCGAAGTTGCGCTTGCGAATCTCGGGAACATCTTGGGGATCAGCGCTGCGGAGCGTGACAGTACCAGCGTTGTTGCGCGATTCGGCCTTGAGAGTGAGCCAAGTCCAGGCGTCACGGCCGGCAGTAGCGTTGGCGAAGAAGTTGGGGTAGTAACCGTTGAAGTACGCGGGCCAACCAGCGACGAAAAGATCAGCGTTGCCGTGAATAGAGTTGCTGGCCTTCTTTGTGATGGCAAGAGCAATACCGTTGGTAGCGTAAACTCCCTTTCCGATTCCGAGCTTACCAGTCTCCCACTTCTCGAGGCAAGGGTCGTAGTCGCCTTCGAGGAATGTGCAGCCGTTCAGAAGAGAGATCTTGCTGGGTGCCTGGCCGATGACGGGGATTTCGTAGCGATCCTGGAGGTTCGTGCCGACACCTGGGAGATCTTTGACAACATTGATGCCGAACTTCTCGAGCTCAGCCTTAGGACCAACACCGGAGAGCTTCATGATCTGCGGGGTGTTGAAAGCACCAGCGGACAGAATGACCTCGCGAGTGGCCTTGACGGAACCCTTTGTTCCCTTGCCAGAAGCAGATCCAGACTGACGCCTTGGGTCAGCGCCATAGAGAGACTTTCCTGTCAAGAAGCTGACGCCAGTAGCCTTGGGCTTCGCACCAGACTGGTCAAAGTCGACGTTGGTGACGAGGGTGTTGAGTTGGATGTCGAGATGGTACTTTCGGCTTCCATCACTGTTCTTGGCATCCATGACCTGGTGAAGGAAGTCAACAGGGCCAGCACGCTTGTACTCTGGAATCTTCATGGCGAGAGGAACCTGCCACATGCCCTCGGCGGAATCACGGTTGGGGCCAGGGTTGTTGATGTCGCGAAGGAGAACCTGGCCAAGACCAGTAACGGTGGTAAGGAGTCCTGAGAGGAGGCTCTTTCCCATACCCGTGGCAGCAGCCAGAACGAGGGAAATGACCTTGAGGTCCTGAACAATCAAGGTCAGGTCAGTCAGAGAGGTCTCGAGCCAGCCTGAGAATCCGTGTCCAACAACGCTGTTGGGCAGGTAGCGCGCCTTCTCCAGACGTTGGTAGTACTTGCGCATCTTGCTTGGTGCCCAGGAATCATCGCCGGTGATAGCCTGGATGCCGCTCCAGTCACTGTCGTATGGGTATACAGTGATAAGGGCGTTGTGAACAGTGCAGCCTCCAAGAGAGCCAACACGCGGGTACAGAATACCCAGGGGTTTGGCACCAGCAGGAGGGTTAGGGCCTGTGTAGCGAGTGCCATCAGCAAGCTCATATGTAAGCTTGGTGTCCTTCTTCATCTCCGCTTCGTCGTCGAAGTGCTTGACGAAGTAGTCCCATCGCATCGGCTCGTATTCGGCGGCAACAGAGTGCAAGACAGGCACGTTGTATTGAGTAGTGTTGGTCTGGTCGTCACCAGCTTCAAGAAGGAGGACCTTGTGACCATTGAGAGCCAGTCTGGCTGCGAGAGGTGCACCGCCAGCACCAGAGCCGACAATGACATATTCGTAATCCTCAAGAGTGGTGGTATTGGTAGCACTCACAGCACGCTTGACATTCAGTCCGCGGTAAGGAGTGTGTTCCGCGCCATCGATGATGTTTGCGGCAGTGAAGTTGGTGAGTAAAGAGAGGACGGCAAGAGCCTTCAGGACAATCATGGTGACAGTATTAGAGATGGTAATAATAAGGCCGGGAGAAGAGTAATACACAAAAGCGAGAGACAGAACGCCTGGGCGTGAACGAGTGTGGAGTGTAAGGAACGAGGGCTTCCCTGTGAAGACTTATACTCCCATGTGCATATGTCAGCCTCGAGCAACCATCACGAAACGCCACTGGTGGTTGCTGTACACGTACTAATGATTAGGATCGTCGACCGTCTACCCCTTTGGTCCTGGACATTTTACGAATGCGACCTACGGCTAATCCTACCCCAACAACTTTGTCCGTTCTTACCAGATCCAGATGGTAGTACGCACCGTGCGCTAGTGGATCCCGCGAGGATGGTAAGAATGCTCTCCACGTCGGGCCGCATCCCTGTCCGCACTGATAAATGCTGGGCGGTCGAGTCAGGATAGTACAAAAATTCTCCTAGCTGCAGTCGAGAGAGATTGAGCGGGGAGATTGAGGCGTTGTTTGAAGCTAGACTGTATCTTGAGCCTTGGACGCCTTGCGATTCGGCCCGACGGCAGTTGGCGCAAACTTAACGTTCGTGGGCAGGCAACTCCCGCGAGATGCGTGAACTTTGCGAGCAAATGCTACAGGTAAGTTGAAACATGACTGCTTTCTAGCTTACAGTCGTCCTGTAGTTAAGGTTGCATTGCATCCCAGGCGAATACTTATTGACAGTCGCGGCTTGCACAATGCATTGTCCAGATTTGGGCCTCCCTTGGTCATCAAAAAAGTCAACTTCAACGACGATCGCGGCAACCCGGCTAAAACGCTGACTATTCTTCACCATCCCCGACGGTCTCCTTCCAGCCTCGCTCCTGGCTTCAACTACCCAATGTACGAATCAGCAACGTCATCAAAAAGCTCCGACGTGAAGTCAGGTATCCACCCAAAATTTCGACGACTAAGTCGATCAAGGGCTATATCACGACCAGCAGAAGACGTTGAGAATGGTACGTATCTACCGATCGTAACCCTTGCATCCCTCCACTATGCACGTGCAACATCGACTTGGCAAACCAAGTGGATCCCCAGAGGGTCCTAGGGTCTCTATCACCAACGTCTCTCAGCGTCTACGGTTCCGCAGAACACCGGAAGCATCCGCGAGCACTGCATAAGCATGGCCTGATTTCTCAAGATACTGTAGAGGATCTCCAGGGGCGTTCTGCAAGGTCACATCAAGGTCACAGGTGCCGAGAAACAACTCCTCAATAGGTTCATCGAATGTAGCAAAGCGCGGCATGTACAGACCCTGGCTTCGTGAACCAGGCTCGTAGGCGGTTGTTCCCCGATTCGATACGACACTCGAGCGACCCTTGCACACCAACATTCGGTGCCTTTCAAACCTGGCCTTCCAAGTTCTCCTCCACGGATCCATATTTCGGTATGATTGCCCCTTGGCCCGAGTGAAGTTCGCTCAAGTTGGCACATTTTGTGTTATCGCAACTCCACCAGTGTTCTGTGCAGTCCAAATGCTTAAGGCGTACATAACCCACTACCTCCATGACCTTGAGACCTAGCGCAAGCTGAAACATTATACCATCCTTCTTTCTCCGTTTACCATTATTGTCTTCGATTTTGCGAAGCCCGTATAGGACATTTCCAAATGCGGTTAAACATTCTGCTAGCATTTCTTGCGGCCTTTGTGGCTGCCGTTCAAGCTCAGAATGCGCTTGAGGCTTTGGCATCACGTATGCCCAAGTGCGCTGTACGTTGCTGTTACAATAGCCAGTCATCAATCGCGGATCTGACTTGTTTGTATAGCTAGCATGTTTTATGGAAGAGCTTCCCAAGTCTACCTGTGCGACGAACCTCACTTCAGAGTGCTTGTGTACCAATGACGCGCTCAATGCTGCAGTGGCCGTCTGCTCGCAGAAGACATGCACTATATACGAGCTCATGCGTAAGTCATCCTGTCCATTTAAGATCTGTATATTGAGAGACTGACATCGATAACAGAGACGAAGAATGTGAGCAACCAGGGCTGCGGAGTGCCTGTTCGTTACAAAGGCAATACGTTCCTTGCTGCTGGCTATGCTGGATGTATCTTGGCCATAGTAGCCTTCGTCCTAAGGATGTTTGCGAGTATAGGCAAAAATGGCCGCCAGGTATCATGGGATGACCTCACAATGGGAGTCGTGCTCTGTCTTGCCATACCTCCGGCCGTATTTGGTCACTTCTGTAAGACCTTTCGTCTTCTGTGATTATCTGACAATCACTTACAACACCTCAGTGGTCGAGAACGGTCTTGGACGGGATATATGGACGTTGAAAGATTACCAGATCACCAACGTCCTGTACTATTACTTCCTGGGAGAGATATTCTACGTGACCGGTTTAGGTATATCCAAGATCTCTATCCTCTTCTTCTACCTTCGCGTCTTTCCGGCAAAGAGCTTTCGGGTCCTTACGTACAGCGTGATGGCTGTATGTGCGCTATATACGGTCGCTTTCTTCGTCGCAACTCTTATCCAATGTCGACCCATCAGTATGGCCTGGACCCAGTGGGATGGACTACACGAAGGCACATGCAACGACATTCATCTACAAGGTTGGATCGCGGCTGCTATCAACATCTTCTTGGATGCTGTAGTAATGGCGCTCCCAATGAAACACCTGGCAGGGCTAAACATGAGTCTGAAGAAGAAGCTCATGGTCATGGCCATGTTTGGTGTTGGTATCTTCGTCATTATAATCTCGGTCATCCGTCTAGAATCGCTCATTCACTTCTCGAACACGCAAAACATCACCTGGGATTACGTGGACGCCGGTTTGTGGAGTCTTATCGAGATCGATGTTTCGATCATCTGCGGATGCATGCCGGCTCATCGAATGTTGATTGCCAAGTTCTGGCCAAAGATAACATCGACATTCGCGTCAAGCAGGAACACCTCGACTAAAGACACTTCGAATAGCAAAGGATCAAAGTTCAGCACCAATAACAGCACGACTGGCGGTCAGGAGAAATCAGTACGTCTCTCCATCAAACCTAAAGCAGGAGACGAAGGCCAATTTATCCCGTTAGACGATATGGACGACAACAGTGACCGGGCCCATTTGACAAGGGCGCAACATCGCGAAAGAGACTCTGGTGGCTGGATCATACAGACTCATGAAGTGGAAGTAAGTCACAGGAATGCTTCGGTGGTGACTCAGAACGCCACTGATGGAAAAACGCAGGAATGGGGGAAGCCGCCCACGACGGGAGTGGAACATGTTTGATATCTTGCTATGTTCTCGATCAAGGTATAGACGGAGTACAGGCGTCTGGACCAAGCATATGCTACGAACGGTGGTTAAATTCTTTTGTAAATAATATACCCAATTGTTACTTGTCTTCACTACTCGCACCGTTCCCGTACACACACGTGTTAGCCACGAGCACTGAAATATTTGGTATATAACAAGTACATCGTACATGATACTCTTTTTCGAACAACACGTACATGAGTCAGGACAGCCTGGGTTTGGAATCGTTTTCTAATCTGGCGCCGAAGTCGGACGGAATCATGACTGCATGCGTACGCAATGGGTGGGGGGTACCTGCTATCGTAGCCAGGCACTTGTAAAGCAGTGAGAAGCTTGTACGCGGGGGAAGGAACATAATCCTAGTAAGGGGCCCGCAGTGTAACTACGGCAAGGATCAACCTTTCCAACGGCACAGTTGGCCTAGGTGCGTCCCACATTGACAGCAAGGATTTTCGCCACTTATCTTTTACGATTTGGTTACTTCGGTGCTTCTCGAAGATGTCGGGTGGGTCTTCAAGGTTTCGTGGTTGAAGAATTATTCGGGATCTCTGTCAAGGCGTCCAGGGTCTGCATGTGGCACGTAATTTCCTGATAACCCCAAAAAATGAGAGTCGTAATTCAAGACGTTATGCAAAAGCGCGGTATGCGATGGTATCAGCCTTGATTTGAAAGCGTTGAGTGAGCGGGAACGGACCGTGCGAGGAGAGTGACAGTTTCGGCTTTCTGTATCCGGACACGGTTGGACCTTGCTGAACGGACCGTTTAGTCGGACCTATGCAGCGTGGCAGTACCGACCCCACCAGTGTTGTCGATCTGCCTACTCTTCCTTCCTTCGAGCCCTTCCTCCGGTGAGCTTTGTTTCAGATCACGTATCTGGAATCGTCAGCTATGCTCCTTTTCAACATTCCGAAGTGTCCGCTGCGGATCTACTCGTCTAGCCTCCTATGAGTCTCGTACCTGGCATAAGCGGAGCAGGAGTCATTGGCATCTTCCGTGCCACGGCTGTTGGTGGCTTTCCCCTACGTATTCTCTGGGTCGTTAAATGAGGATAGACGTTGCCTCACTCCTTGACCAGAGAAAGAGGCTAGTCCTTCACCTGTCAGATATTCCCCGACCCAATCGGGGACCTGCCTATACTCTGTGTGGTTCGTCCACTTTCAGCAGTTCGTCCGCGCCTCACCGCCTGGGCAGACACCCATGCAGTTCTCATGGTGCTCGTAAGGCTCATCATGTAATTACCATTTACTCACCTCTCTTTGGTTGTTCGTTGTTTGCCTCGCAGTCGCTCTTTTCTCACCATTCCACTCACTATGAAGTTCTCGTTTTCTCTTCTTACCCTCTTTTCGGGCAACATTCTTGTCAATGCCTTTCCTGCTCTTAACCCGAGTCACCTTGAAGGCCTCACACCAGAAAAGCTAGATGCAGCTATTCGATCCGTTAACGAGTTGAAGCAATCCAAGAGGTTCCTTGTAGACGTCAACAAACCCATCGATATCACCGGTAAACACGCTTTCCAGGCTCCCAAGGGTAAAGACCAGCGTGGACCTTGCCCTGGACTCAATGCTTTGGCCAACCATGGATACATTTCCCGCGATGGTGTTACTAGCTTTGTAGAGGTTGTTGCTGCCATCAACCAAGTGATGGGCATGGGTACAGAGCTCGCACTCGTACTCGGTATTATGGGTACAGTCTGGACAGGAAACCCACTTTCATTGGATCCGGGCTTCTCCATTGGAGGTCCAGCTATTGGCCCAGACAACATCCTGGGAAATCTTCTTGGCCTTCTTGGTACGTCAAATCATCCTACATTGCTTCAGACTCCCCCATGCTTACTGTTTGATAGGCGATCCACGGGGACTTCAAGGTTCGCACAACTGGATCGAGTCTGACTCATCTCTCACGCGCGATGACCTTTACGTTACGGGTGATGCATGGACAATGAATATGACTCTGTTCCGCGATATCCATGATCGTGCCGACGAAAATGGTGTCATCTCTATGGATTTGCTGGCCGACCAGGCTGCCCGCCGCTGGGAGTACAGCGTCTCACACAATCCAAACTTCTACTATGGTCCTGTTACCGGAATGGTAAGCCGCAACGCCGGTTACTTTTTCCTTGGCCGGCTGCTGTCAAACCACACGGCCGAACACCCCGATGGTATTCTCACTCAAGAGGTCTTCCGTAAATTCTTTGGCGTCTACGAGGGAAACAATGGAACGTTTGAGTACCGCAAAGGCCACGAAACCATCCCTGAAAACTGGTACCGCAAGCCGGTAGAATATGGCCTTGTTCCTCTCAATCTCGACATTGTAAGCTGGGTCATGAAGCACCCGGTCCTTGGCAGGTACGTGAAGCATTTCAATCACTATTTCCTCTGGGTGTTAGCGTCAGTACTGACAACTCTTTGCAGCATCGGCGGCAACACCGGCACTGTAAACTCATTCACTGGTGTCGATCTCGGTAACGTTACGGGTGGCGTGATAAACGTGACTTCCTTGCTCGAAAACAACAACCTCCTCTGTTTCGTGTTTGAGGTGCTCAAGACATTCTTGCCCAATTCGCTCTCTGGCTTACTGGCCACCCTTGAAGTCCCGATCAAATTGGTAACCGATACCCTTGCCGCGCCGCTTCTGGATCTTGCATGTCCCGCGTGGAAGGATTTGACAGAGGGTGGCGAGCCGCTATGGGATTCTCTTCAGAAGAACTTCCCTGGAGCTCTCAAAGCTGGGTCCAGTCTTTGAGTCAAGCGGTGAATAGATAATGCAGCTTGCGGCTTACTGTAGTAATCAATAATCTTTACCATACCCTATACGGGAAAACGCGCTCTGAGTCCATCGTGATGTCTTGTAGAATGTGAGCTGTATATGTGCATCGCGTTGAGATACTGTACTCTAGAAGATGCGCAGGACGGCAATGCTTCCGCGACTGAGAATCGTCTGACGGCTCATGGTCGGTCTTGCAGGCCTCGCTGGCACTTGTTTGCGTTCGCCAGATATAGTGTGTTGTGGTATCTCTGGCCTGGGAATAGCAACTTGCAGTCGCACACGGCTGACATCGGTAGTTTGTGTGATGGTCAGCATTGTGCAAGAGTACTGTAGAACGTAGGGTGGCTACAGAAACTACGTAGGTGGCGCTACGCGTTCGCGTCACGTCGCGTCAGGATAAGCCTAACCAAGTATAGACTAACTCATATGTCGCAAACATATTTGGGTAGTACTACCTAGGCACAAACGCTTAATTTTGGAAGATGCGACGAGAGGGCTGCTTGTTCCTGTGTTAGATTGACAAAAAGAGACGCAACTGTAGGTGTATATAGGTATTTCACAGCTTTTTGAACCGAGTTTCATTCCCCCTTCATCGGCGCATTATGCAAAAGTTCTATCTGAGATGGGAGGTACCTAGGTATTCCTAGATACATAATAATTGAAACAAGAGCATGTCTTTGGGATGAGATGTCTGGACTAGACAAGCGACATCCGGCTGCGGGTATGGCCACGAATGCAGCTCTATATTCTGAACAGTGCATTACGACAGTGCCAGGATATCAAGGTGTTGGCGTTGGATAGTGTTCACAATGGCCCTTTATACCTGAGTACATAAAATCAACTGAGCTCACAGCTAAGCATACATTTGCATAGTTTTCCGATGCTTCACTCGTCGATATAGTGATAGTCAGTCTACCTTTGCTTGAAAGTAGGTAGTGTTGTCAAACAATCGCTTTTAAGATTACGTGAAGTTCCCTGTTGTATACGCAACTCTCAACTCGCCAAACCAACTCGAACTGTAAGCTGGTGTTCTACCACATTCAAAGGTCAAAAAATGAGTAACAACATTGATACGCGCAAGATCAAGTCGACTTTAACATACCATGATGCCGTCGCAAAAGGGGAACGTCTACTCAACCTTACTGTCGCGGATGTCACCAACGGCCCGTCCCAAAGCCAATTTCAAGACTGTGGAGATCTGGAAGAATGGGGCTGGGGTACGTTTACTATTGCTTCCACCGGATCCTACCCCAGTGGCGATCTAATTCAGGCCTTGAGCACCAACCCAACATCATTTGCTTCCAATGCCCTCACAGTAGGTAAGCTTACGTTGCATGAGGACACCGTTACAGTGGATGGCAAGACCTATCCAGCTACAATGGGGCAGATTCAGAGCGTGTTCAACGCAAAAGCCGGCATTTTACTAGCGGAATGCAATACGACACCAATGGCGATGATGAACCCATCTACGAATACAGATCTAGAGACGCTGACAGCCGGTCTGCCGAAGCTACGGTATTGGTCCGATGTCGCGTTTCTGCAATGGAAGTCACTGGCGCCACCTACCGAGCAAGCTCCGATACCAGAGCTGAAGATTGTGGTGAGATACGCGATCCTCAACCTCGATACTCGGGCAGTGTGCAACACTATACTTGCTTCTCTCCGCAGACAGCGACAAGAGAAAGCGAAGCCGGGGGTTTCGTATGATAACTGGTCTCCGAGATGGCCAGGAACAACCTTCCCGATAGCCTCTGAAGAAGCCAAAGCCTTGTGTGGGACTCCAAATGGAACTGGCGTGCTGTGGCTGCTTGCTCAACACAAGGTAGGACTGGGTTGCAAGACTGTCGATAAGGTGACGATGTTTTATCGGGATGAAAATGCCATGGGAATGAGTGGAGTGCCAACGTTGATCTTCTACGTCAAAGACGTTGCAGAAAATTCTGACATAGAAAGGGTAAAGAATATGGTCGCAAGTGGTGGTTTGGAGAGTTAGAGAAGAATACTTTTGGCTGCTAGTCTCGTGAACTTTGGGTCTACATTAAAACCTTGGTAAAAGCGTCACCGAGGCCTCTTTCCACAAGCCACTCTTCGATCGCCTTCATATCCCCTCTGTTCGCTCTTTGACCGCGTCTTTCACCAACCGTATCTGTAATTTCGGTCATGTCTGGAAACACCCTCTTCTCGCACTCTTCTCGATGACGCTCGCTAACCTTCTTGTGATGTGCGGGTATATCGCCCCAGCTTTCCGTCTTGATAAATTTCATGTAGTCATCGATGCTTTGCGACCCACCTTCGACGCAGAGTAGACCGGGTTTGCCAGCATAGAGGAAGCCGGTTAGCTGGTAGGACGGCGCGTACTTGATGAAGTCGTCGCGCTTGGAACGCGTACTGATCGACGGAAAATAGAACCACACTCTTACCAGCGGTCCGGAGTCCACGGTATCGGTGTCTAGGGTCATATCCTTCGTCTCGATATTCACGAGGTATTCGACTGCCGCTTCTCGAATGAACTCAATGGTACCCAATAGGTCTTCATCTTCCGGAATATCCGCTGTCAACTGTGAGGTCGCGGCTTTGCTCATCCAATTCGGTTGTTGCACGCGAACTTTAACCGATGGTGATTCAGAAGGCGCAACGTTCCCACTATACGCAAACGGTACTCCGATGTCTAAGCGCAACGACTTCGAATCTGGAGCAGCTTCTTCGGCAATTGTGATCGGCAGATCAAGGAAGAGCGAGATACTTGGAGTCAGTTTGACAGCGGTTCTAGACCTGACATCATCGGTGTCGCGCAAGATATCTAGTATTCCTTGAGAATTTTCATCGAAAGTAATTTCTTCAGGGTACATAGCCAGCAAAAGGTCGACCTGGCCAATTTGAAGCTCCACCAGATCGGGTGGTAGGATTTGCCATTGTTGCGCATTTATCATCATAATGCGATGTATCTGGATAGAGATTGGACTTGTTGGTAGATGGTGGGATGTGAGCTGCAAGAGACGCAGAGGTTTGGCGCACACTCGCTGAGTAGAGCGAGGTCGGCGTCAATTTTTGGCCGCCCCCAGCCACACATAAAGCCACAAGCGTCGCGACAGCAAGAGACATATAAGACGTAATTACCAAGCATATGCCCATTATACTGCATACCTCGAGCTCAATAACATTATCAATCATTTTGGCTTTCATCTAGCTATTTTGTACTTGCGCACTGGAAATATCGTCACTCCGAAGGTGGGGACGCCTGCGTCTATGTTAGCCTTGCCCAAGCCTCGCGATACTCATTCAGTCCACTTACCTGCCACATATCAATCAGCACACTGGATGTGCCGTTCCTCCTTATGACGCCAACAGCAGCCACATCATTCAACCACGCAGCAGTTCCGTTCGTGCTCGTCTCAAATCTTCCTCGCAACATTGACGGTGCGCCATCTACAGCAGGGGGCAAGCCTTCAGTCTGCACGTAAATATATGTACCGTCATCTGTCTGAATGTTGTATCGAGCGTCTGGCCGAAACTTTCCTTGCGCATCTGTCAGGCGCCAATCCGCACCAAGGTTAAGGACTTTGCCTATGGAACGTGAGTATTTCGCGGTATGTGTGACGTCATAGAGCACAAAAAGAACGATTCGTAACAGACAATAAACACAACATGTTTGGCGTTGTTCAGTATGGAATGCCTATAGTGGAAGTACTCACCAGAAATTCTGGGTCCTTTGAACGTGCCTCCAACAATGGGAATGACAATGCGTTCTTGCCCAGTTGGAATAGAGCCTAGCGAAAATCGTTCCCCCAGGTCTGCTTCCATGTGATAGATCAAAGTCATTTGAGGCGGTGCTGGTGTACTCTGCGCCATTGTGCTAGTGATGATAGTAGCAAACGCAGTAAGAGTATTGAAGAGATGCATGATGGGACGAGCTGAATATGTCACTAAAGACTAGCGGAAGACTTTGGACGCCAAAGACATCATAGCCGCACCTTAGTTATATACATGTACTACATTACGCACAGAACCTCGGTGTCGTGCCGTTGTCAGGTACCGAAGACCGAAGGTCGATGCTGAAGCTTTCAATTCCGCGTTCCTGCAGTAACCCCGCAATCGGCATTTCGATGTACCCCAAATCGAGCGGTCCACATTACATGAAGGAATTCGGTCCTTTGCCGTGTAAGGAATGTTTCCGGTTCTTGACATGGATGATATAGTTATGTCAAACTATGTAATGGCGGAAACATGGTTCATTGTCATCTTACACGAGTTGGCGTTAAAGGTTGCCGTTCGTACATCACCAAAGCATAAGTTCAATGATCGGCGCAAAAAGGGCGCAGACAACACTGTAAGCTGATGGCGCATATTCCTCGTCATTTTCCATGAGAGAACTTTTGATGGCCCGTTGTCGGATTTAACATTGGCCACGGGCACACTCGAGTATACCTTGTCAGCACTCAGCGTAGCATAAAGACGAGCTCCGATCTTTCGTGCATGTGCACTCATGGGTTGGAAATTGTTTATCTATGAGCATGCTGAGGTCATTGCATTACTACACGTCCCGGTGCCGTTGCACCACGACTTGCTTGAGAAGATGCTCTCTCCTGCAAGGCTTGATATAAGCGCTGCTCTACTGCATTGCTATGAAAGAAGGTTGCGGCATCACTATGGGGCCACGACACACTCACTGATGCCGGGATCTGATCAATTAGCTGTCTGCAAAACAGCTCCATCTTTGTGTCTCTGTTGTGCCCGCTGGCGGTATTAGACAGCTCGAACGTGATGCGTACACGCTCAAGTTTGAACGTATCAAATATGGAGCTAATGCGGCTTGAGGGGGGTCCTGTCAAGTAGACCAGATGTTCGTGGACGCGGATCTCAAGCTCTTTGAGAAGCTCAAGGGTGGCTGAGTTGATCGTGGGCCTTACCCCTTGATAACAGACCTCGCCCTGACGCAATCGGCCTAGTGGTGACGAATCTACTCGTACGAACAGTCTCCAGTTCTTGTAGAAGTACTTGATAACTTCGTCATGTAACTGCCTGTTGGCACGCATGATATTGAGACGCGGACGTCTGACAACCTGAGAGCGAGGTCTGAGGATGATACGACGCTCAGGAGGAAGCAGGAATGAGTATACATGGAGACGCAGCTCGGCTGGGAGCCGGAGAAAGGGAAACGGCTGAACTAGTCAGTGTTAGCAAGATGGTGGCATAGGCACTGATGATAGACCTGCCTCGTTCCTCGAGCTTAGCGAAGGCGCCTTCGAGATTGGTGTCACACACACGGTCGATATCTCCCAGGACAGTTCTCACATCGGAGAAAACACAGTCTATTCCTCTACAACCGGACAGATTGTAGTTGTTCACGTAAGGCCTGCCCTGTAAGACATGTTTGTATGCTTCAGCATAAACATCGGCGATGATATGTGGTCGTGCAAGACCTTTTACTACGAGATAGAAAATCTCTGAGCCAGCAACGTACACAGTTTCTTCAAAAGGCCGTGTTTGACATGCACTAGTGATGGTTGCGATATCAGCTTGGTCATGATTTTCCGGGCGAATTCTTGACACGGCGTTGTCGAGGGCTTGCAGCTTTAGCTTCAGATGCACGGCATCGGTGACGGAGAAACGCGAAAACCGCCGCTCTGCGTCGGTCACCGATGAAGTCAGGAGCGGATTAGATGGCGGCGTTGGATTGCGCGCGTTCAGATCGTGTATGGTGTAAACTCTCATGGTGTTTAGGTTTCGGCGGTGTGTTTGCAGTGTTGGTAGATCGGAGACGATGGATACGCGATACGAGTGGAAGAGCTGTCGGCTGCCCCACGCGTCTGTGGTGATGTAACTAGTCTGTGTCGCAGCCGCAGCAGCGCCGGCGCAGGCACATGCAAGACAAGACACGAGCACATGCAATCAAATGTTTCTGACACCTGCCACCGCCTGATGACTTTATAACATCCCTCTTGCTGTCATGCTCCTCTAGCCATATCACCGACGTCAAGACGTTTCCTCGACGCGTCCATCTTCGCGTGCCTGCCCGATCGCCCCGCTTGAGGCCACTGTCTCCACCGTTTCAAGCTTCACGATATCGCGCAAAGTCCTGGCTGGCCAAGCTTCGTGTCGGCGGCGACGCCCCTCCAGTTGACAGGATGACTGCCCCGGACAACAAGCAGGGCTTTCTTTCCAATCTATCACCATGGCCATCGCGGGCAGGTACGCCCAAGCCTCCGGCGCCCGAGGGAAGTGCGGATAAGGCCAAGAAGATGGAGCAGGAGAGGGACAAGGACAGAGCTGCGGCAATACTGGCTGCTCAGCAAGGAGGAGACCATGTGATTGATCGGAGACACAGGCTGAGTCTCAAGCGCTACCCCCCAGACTGTCCTCCGCTGGCTGTGAGGTGGTTCCATGCTATAGATGTAAGTAGTCAATATACACTGTACTCACGTCAAGCTTCCTGTTCTATGCAATGCCAGAGCTGCCTTTTGATCGCGACACTGACTTTGGCAGACACCCAAGCGCAAACCACTTTCGAAGCATGCCATGGCCCCCGATACCGCCTTGCCCAAACCTAAGAAGTGGATACCCTTCGGTGCCGGAGACTCTCGCGCCATTGAGGCCGCCTTTCAGAAGACTGCCGACGAAGCCGATGCCGACGAACTGAGAAGAGGCATTGCTAGTCCTACTACGCCTACCCAATCCAACAACACACCTCCCAAAACCACAAAGGTGCCCGTCAACGAGGACTATCTGTTCGATGTCGAGATCGAGACACGCGAGTTGGCACCATCATACTGGCTGGGTCCTGTTTACGACGTCAAGCGAGGGACATGGTTCACACCGGACGGGGAGGCCGTCGACGAAGGTCTAGCTATGCAACTAGAGGAGGGATATCTCAAGGTGAAGCCGTGGAAGTTTGGAAAGCCAGATGAGAAGCGAGCAGTATCGCAGCCTCGTGCTCGGCCACTTTCCATGGGTCCGAGTGCTGGCGATGACCACCGCAAGGAGCTGGCTAGGCTGAATCGCGACTCAACGTCAAATCCAGTTACACCCAAGTCATCGTATGACAGTCTGCGGAAAGAAGCCTCGAAACAATCAAACGATTCGAAACTAGGCGATGCATCTGCAGCCTCCAATGCGCCTGCCGACTTGCCGCGGACGCATAGGCTCTTCGGCGCCCACCTGAACTCCACTGTCACATACCAGGACGAGACGACAGCGTGGATGTTGACCGATGACATGTGGTCTCGCATGGGCAGTACGTTGTACCAGCGCTTCGCCGGAGGAGCGCACTATGCTGGATATAAGTACATCCGTGGATACACCGATCCCAAAGAGAAGAAGAAGCAGCCAACTCCTGCCAAGGGTCCCCAAAGCGCAAAGCAGACGGACCGACCTTCAACGCCTGCGCTGGCATACGGTTCAGATCACGGCAATTCTGACGTCAACACCGATGGAGAGAACTCAGAGAACGAGCGAAGCATGTCGCCCTCCCAAACACGCAGGCGCAACCTGGAAAGGCAGGTGTCATCGCTCATGACATCCTCAAAGCCAGAATATGAGCAACAACAGGAAGAGGAGATGCGAAAGCGCGAGGAGAAAGAGATGCGTGAAGATTACAAAACACAGCATGGCAGTGATCAAGATCGTGAAATTGAGCATCTGCTCCTAGTAACGCATGGTATTGGACAGCGCCTTGGAATGCGAATGGAGTCCATCAACTTCATTCACGACGTGAATACTATGCGCAAGTCCCTCAAATCTGTATACGCAGCTTCGCCTGACCTCCAGGCCTTGAATGCGGAGACGGAGTCGGAGAGCAAGAACAATCGCATCCAAGTCATCCCTATTATCTGGAGACACCTGCTGGACTTTCCCAAGCAGAGTTTGAAGCACAACCGCAAAGAACACGACTTGGGCGACCTCGATCACGAAGATGAAGAATACCCCAATCTCGAAGATATAACCGTTGAAGGTACGTCGCGCAATCAGATTTTACACTTTGACCTTTACTGACTACTGCAGGCGTACCTGCTGTCCGCAATTTCCTTACTGATCTGGCGCTTGATATTCTACTATATCAAAGTCCTGCATACAAAGGTCATATCTCTCGAATCGTTGTGAACGAGCTAAACCGCACTTATCGGCTATTCAAGGAGCGAAATCCGTCTTTCAAGGGAAAAGTGAGTTTGGTTGGGCATTCTCTCGGGTCTGCTATCATGTTCGATATTCTTTGCATACAGAAAGACCCAAGAGCCAAGCCAAGCTCGCAGTCGATCAAGCAACGAAGGTCTACTGAAGAGGGCTTGAAGCTGGACTTTGAGGTGGAAGACTTTTATGCTCTTGGCTCACCCATTGGGCTGTTCCAGATGTTGAAGGGACGGACGATAGTCGGAAGACCACAGACTTCTGCTGCCGCGTTTGTGCCGCCGAAGACACCGGCTACATCTATCGATGATCCATTTTCGCAAGGTGGAGATGAACATGCATTTGACATTACGACATCCTCACCTCTTTGCAAGCAGGTCTTCAACATCTTCCATCCGACTGATCCGATAAGTTATCGCATTGAGCCTTTGATCTCACCAGCTATGTCAGCGCTCAAAGCCCAGCCTTTGCCATATACCAAGAAAGGCATCTTCGGTGCGCCAGCGTCTCAAGGCTTCACCGGCATTGGTCAACGAGTTGGTCAGGGCGTGACTGACTTTTGGACTTCTCTTGGATCAGGTGAGTCAAATTCACCTATGCTAACTGGGAAAAATACTCACACCAATGGACTACAGGCATTGCTAGTGGACTGCTCAACCGCAGTCTCGGTATATCAGGAACAGAAATGACAGGCGCAGGCAACAGTACACAAGGACAACGTAGTTCTCGCCCACTTAGCGCCGCCGCACCTCCTTCGAGCAACGCCACGAATCTCGTCCCAGGCCTCAATGAGCCCGCCAGCGCCTTCATTAGTGAAGAACGTCGTCGCCGCCTTGGACAAGAAACCATCGCCGAAGGTGAAGACGGCGAGCATCCTCCCACTCTCATCGAAGGCGACATAGAGACCCTCTTCGCCGGCTTCCAGAAGCGAAGAAAGAGCCAGCAGAGTGAAGACGGCGAGCGAGACGTTGAAAAGGACCTTGAATGGCAGGAGCTAGAAGAACGAAGCCGGAAACTCAAGAAGGAGGAACAGAAAGTGCGCGCGCTGAATAGCAACGGTCGTGTGGACTATAGTATTCAAGAAGGCGTAAGTGATGACTGCTCTTCTATCACTTTTTCTAGGCCGTCTAACACGGTTACAGGCTTTCGACATCTCGCTGCTGGCCAGTATAGCGAGTCATATGACGTATTGGGCTGACGAGGATGTGTCACATTTCATGATTTCACAACTATTGGCAAGGCATCGTGTGTTCAAGCCCAAGGAGTGATTGGTAGTTAAGAGTAGGCAATAGATTGGCGATATACCCGGAATAGATCTCAGACATGTTTCAATGACGGATGTTGGATGTGAGTATGAGCTCTTGCACCTTCCCGTCATACGTCAGTAGAAGTTCGACAGGTCAATTCCTCATGTTTGGATAATCTAGCGCACGCGCGTTTGCTGTTTATGTCATCTCGATGGCTGTCGTTTGCTACCTATTCACCAATATCGACAGTACAGCACGTACCTTCCTTGCTTTCGCGCTTACGATTCTGCATTAGAAGGCGCGGTAGATAATTTCACCACTCGCACTCAACGCACAGTCCCCTACTCGAAGATTGCTCAGCTCGTTGCAAAGAAAGCGGTCATGACACCGACACACTCAACAGCTTCTATAACCGCATCGCCAACTATGGCGGACCCAAATTCTACTCCGACCGTCGCACCCACTGCCGCCGCTGCACCTAATTTTCTATGTCGCGCCCAAACACGATTCGTGGATTCGTTCGTCCCCGATTGTGTCCGCCAAGAATATCGAAGAATCATCGCAAGTTTGTTCACGTACAAATACGCGTACATCGCAGCTGCTACCACTGTTCTCTTCGCAGCTGCCGAGTATGAACAGCCCGGGTACTTTCCGAGACCCCACGAGTTGACCGTTGGAATGGTATGTTACCTCGCCCGCGGCATATGTGGTTGATGAGAGCTAACAGTTACAAGGTCGGCGGTCTATGTGCATCTGCACTCTTGTTTTCCACCTACGCTTTAATGGAGTATGCTAACGATCACACATGGTTCTGGAATGAGGAGGGCTTTGTCTGGCTATGGGTGGGCATGCTCTGGAGCTTTACAGTGTATGATGACGAGACGCTGGACGATATTGTGGCTGTGCACAATGGTACGAGTATCACGGCTTCTCCCACTGTCGTATCTACTACTCCAGTGGGCTCGCCGGCTCGACATGACATCATCATCCCGCCTACACCCTTACTAGCTCGTGGCCTTCGGCCCGTTCACCTGCCTCCACCGCCGACACATCACTCCGGAATCTTGGGCGAATCGCCAATGCTAATCAAGTTCAAGCATTTCAGCGGACATTCAGATTTGGAGGATGTAGATGAGGAGTAACACCGGAGAGCCAGGAGGTATCCGCAGATGTTTGTAACGAGTTTCCAGGAAGTGTCAAGGTGCCGTGAGTGCTTCGAGAGTGTGGAGGCTGATCAATTTTAGAACTTGAAGTAGTTGAACATAGTCAGGGTAGGCTGGAATGAACATTTTCCACACTGGCAGATATGGTTTGAAGATGACATGAGAAGGCAGAAAAAGGTACGATTCTCGACTATCTACTGACTCTGAAGAGCAGCACTTATTGCGGACCAGCCAACAACAAGCATACAAAAGAATAGCAAACCAGAAAGGCGCTCACAAACAAGAAGAACTGCTCAACACCTCACCAGTCACGTCCTTTGCCCTCATCAGGAGCTTCACGAAGGAATCTCGCCCAATGGGCTTGGTGCAGCTTCACCAACTCCACCACCTGTCCGTAAATAGCAGAATTCAGTTCCTGCTGCAGCTTCGTCTTCCTGACCTGCCACCAATGCTTCTCCAAGTAACGCCACGCCCGCGCCCACTTGAAGAAGTCACCCTGCACAAACAGTTGCTGCTGACCTCCATTGTCAGCTACAAATCCCCTCACCAACTCATCCACACGTGCCAGCACGGTGATAAGTTGACCAAGGGCCACAGTCCCACCAGGGGGCTGCGGCCAAGTGGACCCGCATTGCCAACGCAGGAGGTTAGCCAAGCGGCGAAGTCCGTTCTCCTTGTCACGAAGATTGTGTTCGAAAGAGGCGACGGTAGAACCGGAGATGTATCCAGCAATGTTTTCGAGCCCGCACCCGGTCACCATTGGAATATCGGCTTGCATGAGGGAGTCGAGGGTGGTGAATCCAGCGTCCCAGTATTTCTCCATGAGAGAATCGTCGTCGTCTCTGTCATCTTCGAAGTGAGGTTCGTAGAACCTCTTGAGAATTCGTCGATCGCGGGAGCGACCGGAGGCAGAAGAGAAAGGTGCTGGAGAGGAGAAAGGGGAGGGTGTCGTGAAGTTGAAAACGGCACCGAAAGTGATATCAGAGGGAGGAGCGGGAGCAGGCATAGCGGAAACACCAACAGATCCACCACCAAAGGCGAAAGGAGAGGAATTAAGGGGAGTCGGAGCAACGATTCCACATATGTCATCAGCCTGGGGCTTATGGTCAGCCCCAGCTAGAAGAGAAATCGGGAGAGGAGGAGCCAACGGCATCGGAACCGAGGTTGTGAGGTCGGGCAGCACCATAGCCAGGGAGCCCGAAGCATACTTAGCAGGTGTCGCCAGCGACAACCCACCAAACAGAGGCTGTGACTGTGACAGTGGTGCTGGAGCCGGCAGCGGAAAGACGTGTGTGAGTCCCTGTGGTAGGGACGGGATGCCGGCCAGGATGGAGGCGACCGAGCGAGGAGTCGGAGAGACGACAATAGGTGCTGGTGCAGGATTAGGCGGAACGGAAACGGCCGCAGGCGCAGAAGCTGCAACAAAAGCAGAAGGGACCGCGACAGGAGGAGAACTTGGAGCGACGACGGGCGAAGGGGGAGGAGAATTCGGAAGGGGAATCATCCTCGCTGCCAATCTCTCACCACGGACTGCAGCCCACTTCCACCCGTTTATCGGATCCCAAATTCTCTCCATTAGGCCATCAGTCTCTGTGGATTTAACATCCAGAAAAGTGTCGTTCTTGTCCTCGACAAGGCGGTGCCGAGGAGGTGAGAGGAGGGAGCCAGGGCGTGCCCACGCAGGAACCGGAGGAGGAGATCGAGATCGAGATCGAGCGAGAGCCCGACGGTCTCGACGTGGCAGAGATGGCGATAATACTGGACCAGCCGGAGTAGAGGCCGAAGGTGAAGAGGAAGGCGAAGACGATATGGTATGCAGACCAGCCGCAGGGACCGAAGAGGCGAACGAGAAGAAGTCATACTCGCAAGCGAGCCACCCCAAAAGAGTGAAGACGGCGGCGAAGAAGAGAAATGCCATTTAGGCGAGATTGTGTGATGGTATTTATATGTGAGAAGGATGTGTATGAGCTGAAGAAAGAGGGGAGGGACAGGAGGACCGCTGTTTATATACTTACCATCTGGGAGCTGCTGAGCAGCAGTAGACGGACAATAGCTACATAGCTATTGTAAGTTGGGATAGCAAGACGTATTCAGTGCTGAAGACGACAATAGGAAAAAGGTGAAGAGGTGAAAGTGGAGAGCTGACCATTGTGATCTCCTTCACCTTGGAACACATCATATAGTAGATACCATGTGAGATACCTAGGAGATATACAGCGTATTTGACCATTTCGGGGATCATGTGGAAACGAGTCGAATCCCTTCAGGCATTGCTATGTCACTTTTGCTTACCACTCATGAATGTCGTGAGAATACCCAGGCACTACCACTCCCTGATCTCGCCTCCCGGCCCAATAAACCCTGGACTGATCCAAGCCTTCGCATCCTTACTCTCCCGTCTAATCATCTCCTCATCAACCTCGATCCCCAAACCTGGTCCCTTCATCAACTCAATATACCCATCCTTCACATCCCAGACCTCCGGATTCTTTGTGTAAGATGTGAGGTCCTGACTCCCAGCATTGTAATGAATCCCCAAACTCATTTCTTGAATCGCGAAATTAGGTAGCGTGCAATCTACTTGAACACATGCAGCAAGTGCAATAGGACCTAGCGGGCAGTGTGGTGCGATGGCAACGTCGTACGTCTCGGCTGCGGAGGCTATACGTCGCATTTCTGAAATACCGCCAATGTGTGAGATGTCAGGTTGCAGGATGTCAACGCAGCCGGCTTCCAAGAAGGGCCGTACATCCCAGCGTGAGTGGAGACGTTCTCCCAGTGCGATGGGAATAGAGGTTAGCTCGTGCAAAGACTTGATGCCGCCGATGTGTTCGGAGAGTAGAGGTTCTTCAATGAAAAGTGGGTGGTGTGGTTCCAGGGCGCGGGCGAGTTGCTTGGCCATGGGTTTGTGAATGCGGCCGTGGAAGTCCATGCCGGCGTCCATGCCTAGCTCTTTAACGGTTTTGAGACGGTCGACGGCCGATTGCAGGGTTGAAGGCGAGTCGAGCCAGCCTATATCTTCCGTTGCGTTCATCTTTACGGCGCGGAATCCTTGAGCTTTGCGTGCTAGACTGCATCGATGTATCAGTACTGCTTTCTTAGACCTTCGTAGCAGGTCGGTCGTCACTCAATCTACTTACGCTTGCTCCTTGACATCGTTTGGTCTATCTCCACCAATCCAAGCGTATACCTTGAGCCTATCGCGTACCTTCCCGCCCAATATCTGATAAATTGGTACATTGAGCTTTCTCGCTTTTAGATCCCACAGTGCGATGTCAATGCCAGCCAGTGCGCTCATGAAAACTGGTCCGCCGCGGTAGAAACTGGTTCGCCAGCACATCTGCCATATATGTTCAATCTCACTTCGATGTCGTTAGCCTTCGGGATATTGCGTGCGACAGTGTCTGGGATATCAGGAGAATCTCACTCTGCTTCAAAGCCAACATATCGCTCAGCCCAAGCGTCCAAGCACCCTTCGACTGCTTGTGTATGGCCTTCCAGTGATGCTTCACCCCAGCCAAAATTCCCATCTGCATCCGTGATCTTGACGAATAGCCAACGTGGTGGGACACGAAAGTATTCGATCTTTGCAATCTTGCCCATAGCTGCCGTTCTTCGTTGCTTTGCTTTTCTAGCTCTTTTGATGTTCCAAGTGATCAAGGCGTAACACTCTTGGGGTGTCGAACAAGTTCCTACACCTCAAAGATGACATAGCCATCTCAGTCCACATCAAAGTCATCTTGTCCAATCAGCGCATTGCCGCCGCCATGTCCCTTTCGCGGTAAGCCGAACGGCAGCGCGGGGTCAAAAGGGCCAGAAGAGCTCCACCGCGGGGCATGTAGCTTCGGCAGCTGGAGCAAAGGAACCCGAGGAGCGGATGACCAAGGCGCGCAATAAAACTCACGGTACTCGCAGCGCATAATATCCTGTTGTTTGACTTTCGACCCCGATTAACCAAGAAACTCGTCACCAAGCGGCCAGAAAGCAATTCTACACACAAGCCACCAACATGACTTCATCACCACCCACCGGCGTCTTCGTGCCCGTCCCAACCTTCTTCAAACCCCAATCGGAATCAAAGTCGCTGCAACCTGCAGTCGATGTGCAAACGCAAGTTGAACACTCTGTATTTCTTGCCAAAAATGGAGTGCGCGGTCTTGTCTTGCTCGGCTCCACGGGCGAGGCGATTCACATGTCGCGACAAGAACGCATCGACCTCGTTTCTGGTGTGCGCAAAGGGTTAGACGAGGCGGGCTTCAAGGACTACCCGATCATGGCCGGCACATTGATTAACAGTGTCGACGAGACATTGGAGTGGTTAGAGGACTTCAAAAAGGCGGGCGCGCAATGGGGACTCGTGCTCGCGCCAGGGTACTTTGGCGCAGCGGCGAGTCAAGAGGGCATTAGGGAATGGTATACGGTTGTTGCGGACAAGAGCCCTCTGCCAGTACTAATGCATGTATCCATGGGCGGAAACACATTCGCATCTTACTAACGGAGTAATAGTTACAACTACCCTGGCGTAACCAACGGCGTAATGGTCACACCCGAAACCTACCGCATCCTCGCCCAACACCCCAACATCGTCGGTTGCAAGATGTCGCATGCAGTCGTCTCATGGCACAACCAAGTGTCACTTGACCCCAAAATCGACCACAACAAATTCCGCGTCTACTCTGGTCTCGGCCAACAACTCGGTCCCATCGTCATTTTCGACGCGGCAGGTGTCATCGATGGTCTCGCGGCTATATACCCCAAGACCGTATGCTCTTTGATGAAGCTAGCCGAGACAAGACCGATAACGGATGAGAATCTCAAGAAGATGAAGCAGTTGCAGTACACAGTCAGTACGGCCGAGGAGTACATTGGTAAGTACGGCATCGTGGGTATCAAAGAGGCAGTCAAGAGGGTGACCGGTTTTGGAACAATGGAAGGTGGAAGACTCCCAATCAAGGGTAAGCTGCCTGAGGGCGAGTGGGAGAAGTGGAGCGAAACCTGGGAAAGGATACAAAAGATGGAAGATTCGTTGACTGAGAAGGACTTCAAGTAGAGTAAGCATTGTGAATCCAGGCAACCGCTTTGACAGAGGTCCAGGTGTTTTTCCATCGTTTCCCCCATTGTTATGAGCGCTATGCAAGCGCCACTCGGCGTTAGAAAACGAGGCGTGTCGTGTTCGCGTCTAGCTGCTGATCTAGATCAAGATAAGATAAGATCAAAAAACCATCTGATATGCGCTCCACCCATCATCGAACCATGCGCAAATTTTCGCACGCCACAAAACCATACTCGTCGTGCCTCTTTGTCCTAATGTCGCCAATCACAAGCGAATCACGGGCGTGGAGCTCGTAGTACCGGAAGGGTGCCGAAGATGGTTTTCAGGCCGTCTCTAGACCCGGTCTAGGGATCCATCTGATAAGATTGCTCCATCAACACCATACTACGCGAAGTTAGATCATCTCCCGTTCGTGCCTAGTACGGTTAAGGCCTTACCCAACACCTCGTGTATGCCGTCTGGCTCTGTGGTCGCGAGGTCGTGGTCAAGCTCCGGGACAAGCTCTAGCTCCAAGGCGTCCAGCGCGAGAAGCTTTGGCTTAGGTATGTTGGCCCACACAAGCATCACGCTTTGCTTGCGCTGCCGCGCCAGACCCAGAGCTATGGGAATGTATTTGAACTTTGTGGCCCTGCCTGATGGGAGCGCTGTTCATTCTATTGCTCTGTCTACGTTTTCAGGTCGTTGAGAGACTCGTTGGCGATCATGGATTCTATCGCTACTGTCCAGCCCGGCACCGAGCCTACTAGGGAAAAGAGCATTGGCAACATGTCTGTTGATGAGGAAGATGCGATTCGCAAGGTTGAGGAGGCTAATATGCCATCACAGTCTGCACAAGAGGGTGTGCGAGAGGTAGAGGCTGTCACTTTGGCGTGGACTAAGACGTCTCTGGCATGCGCATTCATATGGTACGTCGCTCAACCCCTCAGCTATATATCGATCCAGGAACTAACACAGCTCATAGCATGTGGTTTTTGTACCTCACAAATGCTTTCCAATCATCCATTACCGGCAACCTTACGCCCTACGTAACCTCCGGATTTGAAGAACACTCGTTACTTACCGTCATCTCCATCGTATCCAACTCCATGGCCGCAGCGGTCTACATCCCGACCGCCAAGTTGCTTGATCTATGGGGTCGTGCTGAAGGTTTCGCTACTATGGTGTGTTTTGCTACCCTTGGTTTAATCATCATGGCTGCATCTACAAATCTGGCTACATACTGCGCAGCGCAGGTCTTTTACACGATTGGATTTGGTGGTATGATCTACTGTGTCGATGTTATCACGGCAGATTCTAGTAGTCTGAAGCACCGAGGTTTGGCTTTCGCTTTTACCTCTTCGCCATACATCATCACAGCATTCGCTGGACCAAAGGCGGCCGAGGGATTCTATAACAACATCAATTGGCGCTGGGGTTTCGGCACTTTCGCTATCATCCTGCCTTTTGTGGCTGCCCCACTGTTCGTTGTGCTGAAGCTCAACTTACGGAAGGCGAAGCAGACTGGTGTACTGGAGCGCGAGTCGAGTGGAAGAAACCTGATGCAGAGCATCATCTTCCACATTCGAGAGTTTGACGGTTCGTCTAATATGCTACCGCGTATGTGTATCAATTCATACTGACAGTTATACAGTTCCTGGTGCTTTCTTACTAGCCGCCGGTCTTGTCATCTTCCTCCTCCCGTTCACTCTCGCCGACTCAGCACCTAACGGTTGGTCAACAGGCTACATCATCGCGATGTTGGTCGTTGGTTTCGTCCTACTCATATTGTTCGGCCTCCATGAGCGCTTCACGGCAGGAAAGCCCTTCCTGCCTTTCGACCTCTTGACTAGCCGCTCGGTCCTCGGCGCATGTCTCCTTTCCTTCACATACCAGATCTCGTACTACGCCTGGAACTCCTACTTTACCTCGTTCCTGCAGGTAGTCACCAATCTTACTATCGCTGAAGCAGGCTATGTTGCTTCGACCTTCGATGTCCTTTCTGGTGTCTTGCTCCTGTCAGTCGGTCTCATCATCAGCAAGACTGGCTACTTCCGCTGGCTTCTCTTCATCGCCGTACCAATCTATATTCTCGGTCAAGGTCTCATGATCTACTTCCGCCACCCAAACACCAGCGTCGGATATCTGGTCATGTGCCAAGTCTTGATTGCAATCGGTGGTTCTATCATCATTCTCTGCGAGCAGATTGCCGTCATGGCTGCCGCGGATCATCAACATATTGCATCAGTACTCGCCCTTCTTAACATCTTTGGATGGCTAGGCGGTGCAGTTGGATCCACCATCTCTGGTGCTATCTGGACGAACTCCTTCCCGCAAGCCCTGATGGATTTGCTGCCAGCTGAGGCCATGGAGAACTTCGACCTTATCTATGGAAGCTTGGATGAGCAGTTGAGTTATGAGAGAGGAAGTGCGACGAGGTTAGCAATCGAAGAGGCTTATGGCATTGCACAGAAGAGGATGCTGATTGCGGGTACGGCAATCATGGGACTGTGTCTTGTTTGGGTCTTCTTAATCAAGAACTTCAACGTTGCAAAGATGCAACAAAACAAAGGACGGGTCTTTTAGGCGCCAGGTCAGTGATAGTGGGGAATACTTGGAGACGAGAGGGGTTCAAATTGAAGAGGAGGGGTCAAATAGAAGAGCTCCTTCATCTAGGAATAAATTCTATTCTCACATTGCCTGATCCTACATACTACAACCAAGTATAGACATGAAATCGAGTTCCCGACAAAGGCCTGTAGAACGTCAAAGGGAACAGTCGCAGTGCAGCTCTTATAGCCGAACTTAGAGTCTATTCTACCCGTATCACTGCATTCTTTTGATGCTACTCACTTCCTCAAGCCCCATGCCACCTGTGATGAGAATGCCACCAAGGCCTCGCATGGCTCACCAGTACACAGACAGCGAAGATTATGCAGATGGTCGGTAACATCCAGTTGCTCTCCATGTAGTGCTTTTGATTCGGCTTGTTGGTATTAACGAGGCATATCAGACAGATCGCGAGGCCGAGGATAACGCTGAACAAGAGGCGCATATATTGACGAAGGTGGCGTTTCTTGTCCGGCAACGAGATGAAGGCAATTATAGCCATGAATAAAATGGCGAGACCGGCCTGCAGTATGTGTTAGCAAGATATGAGAGTGGTGGAAAGGGGCAAAGACGACTTACCGAGAGGAAGACATAGTCAAAGACAAGCTCGAATCGCATCTCATACTTCTTGAGGAGACTGGCCTTGTCGAAGACCTTGTTCAGAACGTTTTCGGTCGTTGTCTTCGCTGTCTTGGGTACCGAGATGGAAAGGCTGTCGAACATGGTCTGAATCGCCATGCTTTCTGCATTATTCAGGCTAGTGGTGATCATGTCCACAGCTGTCAAGTTTGCTTTGTCCTTCTGCAGGTTGTCGAAGCTCTGCGCTAGTACGATCAAACTGCTGTTCCATGTCTCGAGTGCTTTGCTTGCGTCGACGCCCTTGGGAATGGTATTCCAAAGGTACGTATCAATTTTTTGACGGAGAGCATTCGCGAAGAGGGTACCATTTGCATAAGCGCCGTTAACGCTAAGCGCTTCAATTTCGCGGAATTTTCCATCAACGTTGTCCATTCGGATCAAGGCGACAACCCACATGATAAGGTATGAGACACCTTGTAGGACCAAGACCAGCGTGATGTGTAAGAAGAAATGCAACGAGGCCCAGACTTGCTGCTTGATGGTACCGAAGTGCTCTTCATGCATTCGATCGAAGTAAAGCATGTACAGTAGATCTAGTGGATGTTAGTGGTCGGGCTCTCAGCTAAGTGGACGATCTTGTACATACAAATGATTAGCACTGCGGCGGCAATCTGACCAGTGAGTGCGTCATCAAACTGCGAGCCGTTCTTGACGATCTTGGAGATAGCCTTGCAGATGACGATAATGCCTTCCCCAAGGATGATCAGAGTGAGTAACGACATGCGCTGCACAAGATGTGTGCCTTTGAAGGAGATGACGCGCCAAATGCACGATATCCCGACTGTGAAGATGATCTCTAGGGTGCTGATAGCGTACCATGCGATATGAAAGTGCGTCGTAAATTTCTTGCAAACACCCAACTCAACGTTGCATGTCTCTTTCGGTAGCGCAGCCGTAATGGACCCATATATGAGCGCGGCACCAAGCGTTGAGCCGATGACTAGAGACATCGGAAGGATTGTTCTTCGATGTTTACGCAAGAAGAACAACGTCACGGCGTACTGAGCAGCAAGTACCAGGCGAGAGACCATAAGGATGAATGACAAGACTTGATACTTCTGGAGGGAGCTTGTAGCTTTTCCAGGCTCCCAAGCGGGACCAACGACAGCGAAGCCGACCATGACAGCGTAGTGCAGAGCCTTGGCGCATCGCTCGAAGATGCAGTCTGCGGTGAATCGAACATCGAATAGGGAGTTCGAGTACCATGTCATCCAGAGGAGTGCGAAGAAGCCGATATACGCGGTAAGAGAGGCGCTGTCGTTGATCTCCTTAAGCGACGTGAACGTAGTCAAGTTGGCGACGAAAACTGTAAGAACATGTTATCAGCGATGCGATCTTCAATGAGAAAGGGTGTTGGCAGACTTGCAGAGATCAAAGAAGAGTTCTTGAGTTGTCGCTTCAGCATGGCGCTGAAACTCTGGCATCTCGTGCAACTTGGTGTCATCTGCCCTGGCCTGTAAGCTAGCCCATAGATAAGCTGGCCACCCGGGTAAGCTGGCCACCCCACCAAAACGAGACACCTACACAAAACACGCTATATCTCTCAACAACGCTTTACAATTGCCATTGGCTACACATAGATTGAAGAGTTGCAGCTGCTGTAGCTGCTGCAGCCCTCTCTGTAGCCCTCTCTATAATAGCTCTATCTCGCTGGGCCGCTGTAGCTGCCGATCTATGTATCGCCGCCATGATATCCTCAACTTCCGCAAAGCGTTGATTTGGGTCTACTTGGACGCACTTGCGAGGGGCCTAAGGGAGAGCGATCTCTAGTTCAGCCTCAAGGCGTCTTTTCTCTGCTTCCAGCCCTACTGCTCTCGTATTCGCACTTGCCAGCGCCTTGCCTGCTTTCTGTAGCAAAAGCCAAGTCTTGCGACTGAGATTTTCATGACTCTAGATATCCTGCTGCGCAAGGTAGATATCGCGAGGGCCCTAGGGTGTAGAGAGGAAGGCCTCGATAGGTGATCGAGGTCGCTTTGGGCGTAGAGGTGTAGCTGGCTGCTGCGAGACTTGCGATGAGCTAAGCACGTGATTGATATTAAATAGGCAGAGGCCAGCAGCTCGCCAGCCAGCTCGAATCACACGCTCTGTAAAGCCTTCCTCTCTAGCTTGATAGTAGCAGGTAATAAAGCGCTCCTTCTTTACAGGCGCTGCGTCGTCGAGCGAGGCTAGGTCCTGGATCTGCCGGCGGTAACTTGACTTAATAACAGAGAATAGAGCAAGGTCTAGAGGCTGTAGGACGTGTGAGGAGTGCGCAGGTAGATAAAGGAGGTAGACCTTGTGCTGTTTGCAGAGCAGGAGGAAGTCTAGACTAATATGGCTGCCATGACCGTCAAGAATTAGGAATCAGTATTAACCATCTGCTAGCGCTGTCTCAGGGAGAAATATACGCTGTAGCCACTCAAGACCTATCGCGTTTAAGGTCCATCCATTCTCAGACGTTGTATAGAGCCAGCTAGGTACTAATTTAGCTAGGAACCAGGTTGTCTGTAGGCTCTGGCCCTTAAAGATGACCGCGCAGCGTAGCTTCCGCCCTATCGCTAACACACACTCAATTATTGACACCCACTCGCGATTCTCTGGCGACTTAACGTCAGCCTTCTTCTTTGATGCTCTAGCAAGGACTCTAGTATTCGTACATACGCCTAGGGCGATCCCTGTCTCATCCATATTATATGTATTCTCTGCCTGTATACTGAGGCGCTCTCGCGTCTGCTCATAGTGCTCAAGGAACGCGCGCAGCTGATCTGACGTAGACGCCTCAACTCTCTGAGCGTCGATCTTCCGGCCGATAACTGAGGCGACGCGTGGCTGGCGCTTAATGAAGTAGGAGACCCAGAGCTTGCCAACAGGCTGAGCGTCGCCATTCATACGCAGGATTCGATTCGCCATTTCTCGCGCGCGCGCGTGTGGAGGGGGGTAGCCGCGAGCGTCCTCTTCGAGGATCCAGTCAACGAGGAAATCCTCTTGTAGAGGGGTCAGCCGCTGCCGGTGCTGATGGCTAATGCGTCTGTTGGTGACGCCATTTAGGCGCGTCGAGAGAGTTGACCGAGGGATACCGTACGCCTTAGCTGCAGCTCGCTGGCTAGAATAAACACCTGTGTTGAGATCGCTGATAGCTGATCGTAAGGCTGCTTCACGAGCGTCCATATTGTAAAGCGTTGTTGAGAGATATAGCGTGTTTTGTGTAGGTGTCTCGTTTTGGTGGGGTGGCCAGCTTATCTATGGGCTAGCTTAGTGGAGGACCGTCATCGACATCGTCACTCTGAGTTCCGATATCGAGGACTGCCTGTGTGTTTTCGCGAGTGATCGGTGGGCTCTGATGCTCTTTCTTATGGTGATCCTCGGCCAGCGGCGATGCGAACCACTGCAGGGGCTTCTTTTCGTGATTGTGGTGGTGGTAGCCGTGACCCATCTTGATCTCAAGGTTCTATAATAAGTAAAAGAATGTTTGCGGTCTTACAAAACGCTGATGTCGTATATATATATAGCAAGCTGACTCGGCTTCGACAACTGAGAGGGATTGAGGTAAGGCCTTATATGGACGCTAGACAGCCTACGTTTGTGTGATTGCATGCTCATGTGATTGTGTGAAGTCACGCATGATACACATGTAATTGTGGGGATGAATGAATGGGTTAGTATCAATGTATCATGATAGGGGAAATCCTCGACGCTATTTGGATGCACACATACAAACAGAGCTCGCGCGTGCCCTTTACCGTAGAAACATGGACGCCGATGGTGTCACCATAACATCCGCAGGCACAGCGACTGTGACTTATCTCCGGTGCGGCTCTTCACAGTATGATTGATATTTCGGAGCTCCTACAAGAAAGCATCATAGATGTGCTCATAGGATCGGTCGAGATAAACCAACTGAAGCATAGATATTGCTATATCGTATTCGTAATACACACTTCGTCTATACCAGCTTCAACTCGAAACTCTTGACTGTGACCTGCCCACCCAACTTCGCTGTCGCGAAATTAAAAACACCAAACCTGTAACCTGTGAAGAATTGCCAGGTGTTAGCCATGTTGAATGCTGGGCCCAGCTGCAAAAATTTGCTTCCATCCGTAGAATACCAGAACGTCGTTTGTCGCATGGTGTTGGTACCAAAGGCAGGCGTAATGTCCGACTCAACGCGGAGCCAGAACTCTGTGACACCGGACGCGAGAGCAGGTCCTGTAGCGGCGACAGTACCGGTAGAGTTCGTGGTCCAGTCCGCGTTCATTTTCAGATTGTTGACCATGACAAGCTTGGTTGTTGAGCCATCTTTGTGGAAACCGATGTACGCTCCAGTATCGCGGAAAAGCACGGCACCTGCACGATCACCAACAGCCATCTTACTGATGTCAATCTTGAAGGTTCCCGATGACTTCGGGCCAAGGATGCGATGTGTTAAGGTGTTGCGCGCGGAATAGAGATCAGTAGTGACGGTAGCGGTCTGGAGCTTGAGACCGCCAGCACCACCTGCCAGGCTCCACTTGCTGTTGTCGGGGTTGTGGTTCCACTCCCATTCATTGCTTAGAGCTGTTCCGGTGAATTTATCGAGACCTGTAGGTGGAGGGACAGTTTTGTCCGTTGTGACTGGTTTAGGATATGTCTTGCCCCACTCGCCGTTGACTCTTACGACTTCCGGCCATCCATCTGCCGTCCAGGTCAAAGGTGCAACCACAGGTATACGTCCACCAGGGTAGGAATCCATAAATGCGACGTAGTACCAGTTCCCGTTCTTGTCGTCAACTACGCCACCTTGGTGACTGTTGCCCGCATTGGCCAAAGGCCCCTTGATGCTGTCGACCAAGATGCGCGCCTCATATGGGCCCCATGGGCTGTCCGACTTCAACACCCACTCGTCGTCGGCTGGCTTTGTGGCGAAGATGTAGTATTTCCCCTTGATCTTGTACATTCGCGAACCCTCAAGATAAAGTCCATTTGGATCCTCATAGACTTGCTGACTTCTGACCTCTGCTGTGCCGTCTGCGTTCAACTGGGCAACCTTGAGCTGATATTTGTCGTACACTATGTACATGGTGTCATCGTCATCAATGAAAAGTCCATTGTCATAGTAGCACTTCGGAAATGAGCCTGCAGCAGTCCAATTCCAGTTCGAAACTTCGCCATTATTGGCGGCAGCCTTGGTTCCACCGGCAGTCCACATGTATGACTTGCCAGTAGATTGGATGCAGCCGATCCAGATGAACTTGTCGGTCGATTTTCGATACCTGAGTGTGCTGGCCCAGATACCTTTGACGTAAGCGCGGTTCGATGGGTTATCGAGGTCGTATTGCGAGCCAAAGTTCAGCCTCGGTACGCTGTGAGTTACTGGGGTCCAATTGACGAGGTCATAGGACTTTAATACCGGCGCGCCTGGCGAGAAGGCGAAAGTCGACGACGAGTAATAGAACACATCGCCTATCCGGAAGACGTCAAGATCGGGATAGTCTTCCCACAAGACTGGATTGTTAAATGTCTCAGCCCGACTTGTAAGCTCGTTCTTGTTGCTGAGCGGGCTTCCAATGGACGAGCACGTCAGAAGGCCAACGAGTGCAATAGCCGTAGAGAAGAACATGGTGGCTGATGTCCTTGGTGGAGATACCGGTCCATCGCGGGATGATGATGCGAGGTACTTATACATCCAATGCTACGATACTGCATGGTTACTAGTCGCACATGTCATTTCTGGAGAACCTTGTCTCTCGTAATATGCTCATCGACTACCCCACATGAAACTCTTGATGGGCGCGCTACCGCTCAAAAACCCGTGTTTACATTGGAAACCCGGGGTAGTCGCCGCTCCAGGTATGGGGTCGTCGGACCGGCTCTACAGCAAGTCTTCCTCATTGGTGCAGTTCGGCTAGAGTTTTTCCGACAGGGTAGTGCCCGGGTGATCGACGTCGTCATTGCCGGTGGCTATCCTCGAAGCCGTGACTTTTCCCGAACTCGAAGATTTGCCATGATGTCGTGTAAGATGAGATGAAGATGGAGTAATATAGAGGAGAGGGGAAGTTAGAAGACGCGTGGCGTGCGGGTGGCAAAGCAAGGTCCGAGCGCCAATTACGTTTTGTCCAATCTTCTTGATCCTACACGCTAGATTCTCCGTGACGGCGGACGCGATGCAGTCGTCTGCTGACCCGGAAGACATTCGGAAAGGGCTGTAGCCTACCAACAATCTGTCTTGCTCCGAAGGTACAAATTCTATGGGCACTTGCTTATGCAGCATGTTGTATTCGCTTGAGACTAATGTGTAAAAGGAAGTTACGCGATGGTTGTGCTACTGACACAGGCAAGACCACCAGCACTTCGAGAAACCAAGCTAAGGATCTGTACAAACATCGAGAACACGCGTGAGAGTCCTAACGCAGAGACCGATCCGAGTAGACATCATTAGAGCAGCAGACGAGCGATTCCTCTACAGTAGGCTCCTGCCCTTCTACCGCTCAACCTAGATTCACTCCCCGGTCGTCGGATGTAAGCTCTTGCTTCTCATCTTTCGATTCAAATATACAAGCAGTGTCCCTTATAAATTATAACAATGCTGCGTTTTGGAACGGCGCACATTATAGCACCCATGAATCCTCGGTGCTTCTCTCGGGAATATATCAGGTCAGCAACAGTTGGCGCTTCAGATAACGAGCGTGCGATTCACGTTGCATGGAAACGTAGAACTGCCTTTCTACTTTACGGAGGAGGTGTGATCTGTATGGTAACGGTCATTGGTTTTTGTTTTGGGGACAAACTACATTGGTACGTCACATGAAACACGTGCATGAGATATCAGTTGGAACAAGACGTTACTGTATAAGTAGTTGTCACGATAGCAACTTCATTGAGCGCACACCCAATGGCGTCAGGCCACCTCCCAGTACGCCTTGATAGCTACATCATCAAGTCTGCCTACTATACATCCATTCCAATGGATGCATTTGAGAAGCATCTCGAAAATGCAACAGCCAAAGGCGCCTAAATCGTGCCTGGGGCGGTATTGGCTCTTGTCGATAGAGACCATACTTTGCTCTTGCTACCACAAGACAAGTTCGCCTCATGCGCATTGTAAGAAATCCCTGACGTCTAGAGCGCCAAGATCCCTCTTTCTGTTGAGTTCCGAGACTGAAGGTGAAGGTGAAAGTGATTGATTTTTCAGCAAAGCTAGTTTTTGCCTGCACACTGACTCTCTCTGCCAGTCAACACTAAGTTATATCAGAAGCCTCAAAATGGCGCAAACCACGGATGTCGCGATAGACACCAATACTGTGGACATGCCGCCGGTAGAGGTGGGTTGCCCAGACGATCTCGCAAGTCCAGGTACAGACACAGATCTGGGTTCCCTCGTTCAAGAAACCGCCATTACGGTATATCTAACAAATTCTTGACCTAGTCTCACTATGCTCGCCACAATTAGGCTAGCGAAAAATGCGGCGATACGCAAGACGGTACTTCCACAAACCAAGCGAAATACCCAGGAGCCCACTGTGAACCCTCGCCCTCTCTCGATAAGAATGACGACAAGTCAAGGGTTGACCGCTACGAAGGCAGCGAACCAGCCACTACAAGCACCAGCCCTAGCATCTTTCCGTTCATGTGCTTGCCTGTCGATCTACGTCTTCGCATCTATGACCAGTTGACAGCCATGCCGGTATATCGATCATCCTCTGGGGCAGATGCCAAGTGGATTTACTATACTGCGCCTTCAGTGGGCATATTGAGGGTCAATAAGTTGATTCGTCAGGAAGCCTACTCTATCACAGAGCGTGGCCATATGCAAATGTGCCTATCGATCACCTTCAAGCTCCTCAATTTCACCGACAAGGAAAAGTATAACTCTGCTTCTAGGATTTATGAGGTGATTGAGGGACTCAAGAGCTACACAGAGTACATTGAAGAGCAATACGTGGCACGCTGTGGCCTGCCACGCCTTCCACACGATCTTCATCCATCCACCCTTCTCCAGATGAGCAGTGAACTCAGACGGCACTTCTTGGATGACTCGCATGGCTTCGGCAGAGCAGATCTGATATGGCTTCACGCTGAGGGCTCCTTAACCCATTTTCTCATGCGGACAAGCTTAGCATTGCATCGAGGTAGCACGATGGCCATCCGTCTGATCATGGATTTCACCTTCTTTCGCGAGGACTACGGTATTGCAAGCGATGGATTTGTTGTTCGCCAATTTATTAGACTTCAACTCGCATGCCCCACCAGTAGTAGCATTACGTTCCAACTTTCGGTGCCTGGCGAAAGTGTTGCACACACTCGGGAGGTCTTCGGTAAGCCGACCTACGCGGGTAGATACCTACCACGTGGAACCTGGAGAGTGGACGCGCTGGAAGATGACGCTGTTCCTGTGCAGTAGGCGTGGACGTCAGAGGGATATTTGCACTGCGAGATCGATTTTCAGGCACTCGCATATGGTAGCCATGGCTACTATTCAGCCTTACCGTACAATGAAATTGCGTGGTAGCCTGGGAAAAGAACGTCCTTGGTCCGATCATCTGGCTCCAACGCACTGAACGGAGTGACAATCACCGCAAGATGGAACCAAAATGGACCATTACCGACTAGAGGAGTACTCTTTCTGGGTTGCTTCTTTTGACTACAATACCTCATAGTGGTTAGTAGCACGATACACTCCACAGCACTGCCCTAAACCTGCGGAAGGACCTTCTTCAATACCTCGACCAATCCCTTGATCTCGTCTTCAGTGTTGTAGTGTACCATGCTGACCCTTGTCACACCCTCCGGCTCCAGCTTCAATAGATCATCGCAGAGTCTCTTTGAATAGAAATGCCCCCACCTGAATCCATAATTGCTGATCTTCTCCGCCTCAGCCACGATTGCCTTGCTGCTCATACCTTTGACTGTAAATGACACTGTAGGCACCCTTTCTTTGTTATCGCTCGACGTGGACCCAAGGATCGTGACATCTGAGCGTGAGTTCAGATAGTCGAGCAGGATGCTTTGTAATTTTCCTTCATGTTCGGTGATGGTTTCGAAAGCGTCGGTGAGGTATGCGGTGATGGTAGGGATTGACTGAACACACTCATAGTTTGATCCTGCGAAGCCAATCTTGTCTTCTAGGGTTTTTGTGGGGTTGAAGTAATGGCTCATGGACTTCATGTGTTGTTGGGCCGAGTTGCTGGCGTAGAGCGCGGCGATGTGAGGGCCGTAAACCTATGTCATCTCGTCAATATTGTAATGCATGAAGAGGAAAGAACTTCCAAGACAGACCTTGTACCAGCTGAACGCGTAGAAGTCAACTCCAAAATCCTTCACGTCAATTGCACGATGCGGTGCGTAGCTCACGCCGTCAACGCAGAACAGTGCACCGACCTCGTGCACTGCTTTTGCAATAGACTTCACATCATGGATCGTTCCCAGAATGTTGCTGACGTGTGTACATGCTACAAACTTTACTTTATCGCTCAACAATGGCTTGAGGTTCTCTGCTGTGAGTTTGAGTCCATCCTCTTTTGGCGACGCCCACCACTTTACAGTCAAACCGAGGCGCTCGGCCATGAAGAGCCAGGGCTTGACGTTAGTCTCATGCTCCATCTTTGTGAGAATGATCTCAGAGCCTGAGGGAAACTGTAGCGAGGAGCCGAGATTCATGAAAAGCTGGGTTGTTGAAGCACCAAGAACTGGTTACTATCAGTAAGAGAAGGTTGCTGATATTAAAAGTTCTGTTACCGATTTCATCGCGGCCAGCATTCATGTACTTGGCAGCCGCTTGGTAGCCCTGTTCATACTTCGTGTTCGATTGAGAGCCAGTATGGTAAGAAGCGCCAAGCTGAACATTGGTCTTGGAGAGGTATTGAGTTATGCTGGACATCTATCAGTTCAGTTCCACTCGCGCATTCCGCATTTCACTAACGAGTCGATCACATCGCCCAAGGCTTGACTGCCTCCAGCATTATCGAGAAACACCTGATCTTGTTGAAGTGCGGGGAAGCGCGCCCGGGATTTGGAGATATCGAAAGTCATGATGCTAATGTCGAAAGTTATGGCGAGACGATAGGAGTCAAGAATACAGTATTGGAGTTTTTACGCTGTTTGCTACGATGTTGTATACCTATGATAGCCGCCCGTACGCCCTATGAGATAGTGCGGGGCTTTGCTCAATACAGCAGGTGCTAATTTGAACCTGTGACGGCATTACCCCACGTAACGTCTACTTCCACGATGCGCATCTTCAAACTCCGAGATCATGCCGTGTAGCTTACGTTAGCTCCTAACAACAGCGATTATAAAGATTAACAGCATTATAGACTTCTAGATTCTCTAAAAAAAAACTACATTGAATACAATTTATTGTAGTAGGAAAGAGTACTCTACTCTGATAAGATGGTTAGTTTCTCCCCTTTACGTAGTGGATGTACATCTGAACCCTACTAGCATTACATTTGTGAGTTATCTTGGGTACGATTTATATTAGCACGTCATATAGAATACGTGCGAGGAATACATAGATAAGAGATACTAGTTAGAACAAGATGTTATGGTATATGTACTTGTCAAGCTAGCAGCTTTAGGGTTCTTCGTCACCCTATTTGCATGCCTAGTCGTAGTTCAAGACGCTAGGACGAAGGTTGGCGTTAAACTTGAACATGAAGAATTGCTGGGCGTGGTGTGCACCTCCTTTAGATTGTGTGCTCTTCTAGCGACGAGACTTTGGACTAACGGCAAAGTCGCTGGGGGTGTTATGCATGGGCTCGCCTGCGGGCCGAATGGAAGACAAAGGTACTCCGCAGCGACCTCCATCCTATTCTCTGTTTTAACAACCGCCTGTAAGTCTTCTAGAGGCTCCATTGCGACGTCCGTCCTATTCCCCGCTCCATCAACCGATTCCGAGTCTTCCAGGTACTCCGCTGCGACCTCCGTCATCTTCTCTGCTTCAGCAACCGCTTCCAATTCTTCCGCCGCATCCATTTCATCCAGTTCAGCGTAAAGCATGTCCCTTTCCTCCTTCGTCATGCCTGTGAGGTACTCCATCTTGAACTCTTTCATTTCATCTAGCTCCTCTCGCAAACTTGCGAGAGCCTCCAACGACTTGTTGTCTTGCTGTCGCGTCGCCAAATCATGGCTTTTCTTAAATGCCTGTTCTGCCCAGCGAAGCCAGTCGTCCGCGATGTTCCATTCGTTCACAGCACCAGCAACAAGAATGCAATTCCTGATAATGTAGAATGGGGGCAGCGTAGGATCCCTTCTCGTCTGTCAGATGAAATCCAAGATTCTCACACGCCCAAACGGGATACGAATGGACATGTTATATAAGAATGTAGAGAGGGGGGAAGTAGGCGGAATAGGTGACGTACAGTAGGTTCTTTTTTGCTCCTGCGATGCAGTTCACGATGTCGCTGTCGAATAGCTTCCGGGCTTCTTCGTATTGCTTGTGGTAAAGCCTGCTCGGGTCTGGATCCGACATCTTGAGCTGATTTGGAGTTGACAGCAAGTTGGTTGGTTGCAGAGGTGATTATTCAGGAAGAAGGTGAGCGACAAGCCATTGCCTAGCGGTCAGGCTGTTTGTACGCCAAGGCCACTCTGTTTGGTTGTGAAATCGCGTCACTGCCTCAACTGAACGCTTGCGGGGTACATATTCTTGAAAACTTGTCTTACCGCGCGATACAAGCGATTTCTCTCACTGCCGCGCAGCTCTTTGCGAGTACCTCCCACAACATCGGTCTTTGTTGGACAATTCGACCTTACCTGGAGACACAAAAGTAAGCTCACACTCGCGTATACCGTCTTTAACTTCGTGCTGACAGGGCTATAGAATGTCTGAACGAGCTCGACGCGCCTTGAGGCGGTCCCGAGTGGAAGAAACCCCTACAGTCGACGACGCCTACAGTCCCCCGAAGGACTCACTATCTGAGCTATGCGTCTTCCATTGACGTCTTCTCGATGTCTATTCCGATTGGTGAAATGCCGTTGCAGTGGCCGGGTGGATGTAGGTGGCTGGACCTCAGGAGCTTGGACTGTAGCACGCGTTCCTTAACTCGGACTAGCTTCCACATCATTTGAGTGCCGCGACACGGTAGACATCACCCTCAGTCATCGGATATACCACGTCGAATCAACACATGGATACAGCAACGTCAAACAATGAAACAACAACCACCACAGCAGGCCTCCAGGGGTGAGTTAGGCAAAGCTCCGCGTCACATGTGTCATGATCTAATATGTCAAGATGACCTCATCAACTCTCTATCTACCTTGCCGAACGAGATACTGCTTCAAGTCTTCACGTATGTCGATGTTCATCGCTCCGCACGTGTCCTGGGTTACATCCCAGACGACCCTCCTCCAAGCCCCCCAGATGAGTACCTCGTCTCCGATTTCCGGGCTAGTTGTCGCTCGCTGCTCGGCGTTGCGTTAACGTGCAGGAGATTCACCGTTTTAATTCCAGAAGTGCTGTTCTCTACACTTGTACTTGAGCTCAGCATTCCTGAAACCTTGAATGATCTCCCAAGATCTGATATCTTCGGCTTGATTCCAATATTCCATGCACGACCTGAATGGAAACGACATGTGAAACAGCTGAGACTGTGTATACCCAAAAGCGAGGATGGTTTTTCGATCATCCGCGATCTCGTTCACGAGAAGGCACTTGAGTTTATCCACTCACTCGATTTCCCTGTTGAGTTCAAAGAAGGGTGGTCTCAACAACTGGAAATTTCACTCGCGTGGACTTTTGCGTCTGTGCTTCTAGCACTGTTACCAAACGTCGTAACGCTATGCATATCGGATCGCAAATCAAGACTGGCATTTGGCAAAGCGAACACTGACCAGCCCGAGAAGACCACGGGTCTGATAAGGCAAAGACTACCAATATCACATATGCTATCCTATGTCAAGTTCGAATGCCCCTTGCCTCCAGTTCTGAGAGGCTTGGATAACGTCCCAAACTTACATACCCTTGACTTGAGCATCAAGCTTCAAGGTCAGCTACTTTCATCAGTCCGCTATTACTCCGAATTTTACCTCGACGGCTCATGCGAACAGCCGAGCATTCAGCGCCTGCGTCTAGATTTCGAAGTCAAGTCGGTCGGTGTATGGAGCGTACCCTCCCGCAGGTGCATGACCAACATCATCCGCGGCTTTCCAAATCTACGAACGCTAGAATACTATGCGGAGTCTTCGGATTGCAAGAATCCATACAGAAGCGTTCGCGCCTTTCCCGCATACCAGTCAAACATTCAGAACTATCCAGACGCATCTTCTACCCTTGCGGATGATGTATACATTGATGAACAACACTGGGACCGAGCGATATATGATGCGAGGACCGAAGTGACCGACTATCAAAACCTGGTCGACGGTATGGTACATCTGCGACCAAACCTCGAGACTTTACAGTTGCCGGGCGGGTTCTGGACCCTGCCAGGCGCAGTGCGCAAGCCGCTTCCACGATTCGACCAGTTCGTGCAACTCAAGAAACTGGTTGTACCTCAAGCAGCGATCATATCAATCAAGCTTGACAACATGCGCTTTGATGCCATCTTCGAAGGCGATTTCGAACTTTCGCCAATGCAAGCTCTTCCAACTTGTTTGCAACATCTCAAGATCTTCGATGTTGATTTGGCGTTCTTGGAAAGCAAGTGGCTGCAAGACCTCTTCGACGAGCAAAAGACGAAAAACCAATGGCCAGTGTTAAAATGCGTTGAGATCTTGATGGGCCCTACGATCTCGGAAAGCAGTTTGAGACATCTCCAAGCTAGAGAAAGTGAAGATGAGTTTTGGAAGTTGGCGGGAAATGCGAACTTCAAGGTGGTCATGGGGCGGGATGAGGAGGGACCTGATGTATAAATCAACGCACAAACGTAACGCTAGTAGGGTTTGGAGCTTTGCGTGTACATCTTTGCTAGTCGTTGATCAAGACACTAATACCATGTATACGTCACGGATACTTCATGACTTCCGTTTTCACAGTTTCAACTTTCGCTGTAGTGAGCCGAATCAGTCTTACTGATGAACGACTCATACAGATATTTGTTGAATTTAGTTAGTTGAGATGGAGTCGTTATGCACTAACTAGGTAGGATGCATTGCTTATGATCTTCCTGCCTCACGTTCCTGTGAGGTTCGATAGTATAATTGCTTGTCACAATCAATGATACTGCTGGCAGAAAAAGCTTGAGACGTGGCAATGTAGCTGAAGATTCATCAGGTCAAGTGATTCATATAAACATATGTACAGTCTATGTGCACTCAAAGGTCGTGGTATATACAAAACTCCACCCGACCAAGTAGAGTCGAACCATCCTATCACAAACGCCGCGCTACCGTCATTCAATCCTCATAGGTATCATCTAATCCAAAGTAATCCCACCAAACACCAGATAGTATCATTGCTTGGACGCTTAGACCTTGGTCTCGAACATGCGCGCCTCAACATCCTTGTCGGCAAGGACAGAATCGTTGTCAATAGCACCCTCAGTGGTACCGACATGGCTCTCACTGTAAGCATCGAGCTCACGGCCCTTGACCAAGTTAAGGTAGATGGGGTAGGACCAGGCGATCGCGAAGAAGATGAGCGGGATGCACATAGCCTTTCGGGTACCGATGTGGTCAGCAACGTTGCCAAGAATGACAGGGCCGACAGCACCACCGCAAACGGAGGAGACGAGGAAAGAAGCACCACGCTTGGTGTGGCGACCGAGACCACGGAGAGTAAGGGCGAAGATGATGGGGAAGATGCAAGACTCGAAGAAGAGTACAATCATCAACATGCTAAGACCTCCCCAGTTGGGACGAGTAGCGCTTCCAGTGTCGGTTCCTTAGAAAAGTCAGTATACGTCTCATATGGAGTTTGTGGTACTATGGTATCAAGCATAAGTTTTGTATGTGGAATGCTAGTCTGGGGGTGCCTCGAGTAGATCTGCGCCAAGCAAAATTGCCTATGTAAGCAATTTTGCTAGCGTGCACGTGATCTACACCGAATTGAAGCACCCCCCTAGGAGCCCACACACAAAACCCATACCTGATACCACAATTGTACAGGGAATTTAACGAACCTATGGCTGCCGAGATGAATATCATGATAAGTGTTTGGAAAGCGAGAAGGACGTAACGGGGCTTGCCGCCGTAGTACATGAGTCCAGCTGCGGCGAAACGTCCGACAGCGAAAAGAGCTTGGGCGATGGCGTAGAAGTTGGCTCCCTCGTGGTGACCCTCAGTGACCGAAAGATCGGGGCGTGCCTCCGCAAAGTAGTTGATGAAGTACGCAGCGACACCAACTTGACCAGCGACGTAGGAGAACTGAGCAGCGGTACCCCAGAAGAGAGTGTACTGCTTGCGGAGGGGCTTGTCGACGTATCCGGTAGCAGAGGTAGTCATCTCAGCTTGGTCGGCCATGTCGGAGTCGGTAATCTCAGGGATAGGAGCCTAGAAAAGTCAGTAATGTATCACATGGATTTCGTACAGGGACATTCTTACGAAGTAGAAGACAACAGCCAGGATACCGACGAAGCCGGCAATACCAAGGTAAACCCATTGGACGGCCTCAAGAGACTTTCCATCGGTACCAACGTTCTTGAAGATGACCTGGGCAGCAAGGACAGGAGCAACGACGGAGCCGACAGCCTGAACGGACTGGGACAGCTCAAGACGGAACTCAGAGTACTTGGGAGGACCGCAGACAGCGATGTATGGGTTGGCAGATGTCTCGAGGGTAGACAGACCAGAGCCAGCAAGGAACATGGCACCGCAGAATCCACCGAAGCTTCGCTTAACAGCCGCAGGCCAGAACATAAGAGCACCGACACAGTAGATGGAGAGACCGAGAATGAAGGTGTATCGGTAACCGAAGCGGCGGAGGAACCATCCAGAGTAAGTCAAGGGACCGATGAAGTAGGCACCGAAGTAGGCAGCCTGGAGACCAGACGACTCTCCACGGGTGATGTCAAGGGCGACTTGGAAGCGAGAGTTGAGGACATCGAGAAGACCGTAGGCAAATCCCCACATGAAGAAGAGGATAGTGACCAAGGTGACGGGAACGATGGACTGGCGCACGGTAAGAGCCGAAGCTCCGGTAACGACGCGGTTGTCGACAGACTTTCGGCGAACCTGCTCATCGACAACTTCAGCGACTGAAGGGCGACGAGCCTGTTGCTCGTGGACTTGGTCCAAGGTGGGCTCTTGCGAGCCGTTGTTTCCAAAGAAACCCATGATGAGGCGGGTAGGTAAAGATTGGATTGAAGTAGATAGCCTAAGGATCAACAGATGATGTGTCTGTAGAGGCAAATCCTAGTGAGTGATGCAGGCGAAGAGCGAGAGGCTGATGCTGTTTCAATGGAGGGACACAGGGCACAATATATATCGGCCCTCCACGTCTCCCAGATACCATCCTCATGGTAAAGGTCGCGACATGGGCTGGTTCCATCCAGACTCGACAGTAGTTGGTAGCTCATCGGTAGTCCCATGCTG